TTTCATATTTATCTAACTTTTAAACCTTCTCTGGAGTTCCACAAATATAAATATAAAATAGACAGGATAGTGCGAGCTCATAACCACCACTAAACTGTTTTACAGATATCGCACCTTTAGAATTAAAGTGATTTAAACCAAAATTCTTGTTTTTTGGTAAACGCTAAAAATGTAATTGATGAATTGTAATTTTTTTAGTTTCAATTTTAATAGTTTAAGCCTTAACGAGAATACCTTAAAGTTTAAAGTAGGTATGCGTTTTGCAAAGCACTGCTCTTGTTAGGTTCAGTGTTAGGAACTCCGCTAGGCTTGAGGCCCGTGAGCTCACCTACTCGTCCGGTAACGCTGGTATAGCCTCTCAAGGCTATCAGCATAGGTAGGAAAAAAAAGTATTCGTTGATTTAAAAGTGAATGTTACGTTGTGGTAAATGAGCGTGGAGTGTATTTATTGTTTTGAGATGTTTAATTTGTCCTTACATGACAAATTAAAGACATAATATAAAAGAAATATAAAATTGATGTGTCGCTTTTGGCGGCCGGATTTGAATAAGAAAAAGTGTCATGGCGGATGTCGCTCGCTGATATTTTGACGTTCAGAAACTGAACAGCGAGGGAAAGTGTAGTTTTGCCTTTTTTAGACGAAAATTTAAATTTATTTTTAATTTTAATAATCGAATTTTATAACCCAATAGAATGCATGTTCATAAGTGGTTCGAAATATACAACTCATTTCTTTAAATGTTTTAGTGAAGCCACTTCAATTCTAAAGCTGCGATACATATTTAGTCTTTGATAATTCCAACCTTAGAGATGATTACAAACACAAGTGCGCCGAGTCAAATGTGACATGTTAGTCGGATTAATTTGCGAGGCAATTACACGGAAGCCCCGGGAAGCATTGTGGCCATGATGCACGACCGGCCGGCTAATGAAGGCATGTTATCATATGCAAATGGACATATGCGTTGCGTGCGTTGTACATCTCAATGTACGACAAACTATTACTTGTGGTAATAGTACGCGCGTGTGAGATGACACATCTTCAAAATAGTTTATTTTTATTTTACCGCTGGTAGGACCTGTTGTGAGTCCGTACGGATAGATACCACCACCCTGCCTATTTCTGCCGTAAAGCAGTAATGCGTTTCGGTTTGAAGGGTGGGGCAACCGTTGCAACTATACTGAGACCTTAGAACTTATATCGCAAGATGGGTGGCGCATTTGAATTTGAATTTGCTGTGAGCTCGCTTGATCTGAGCAATTAAAAAAATACAGAATAAATTTATTTTAATTTTTTTAAATTTACATAACCATAATTCTTTAGGTACTAACGCCCGTTTGACAACGTCCATATTCATGATAAAAACCAGGAAAACCCGTCCGACGGGCCTGTCTTTATACACATACTTTTTATATATTTGATTTTTTTCTAAATCGCCTCACTTTTTAAAATGCTCACACTTCTTCTCAGTAGTCGCATCAGAGGTAGGTGGGAGCATTCAAATATGTTCACGTTTTAAAAGTTAGCATTATATTTTATGTTGAACGATTTTAACTGAGCAACTGCAGGGTACATTTTGGATGGATTCAAAATAATAATTATTAAATTACAGAAACCTAAAGTTGTCAAGATATTTTGGATACTAATATAAAACAGACAGTAATGGATGATAGAGCGCAAGCTTTGTTTTTGAAATAAATGTGCTTAATATTAAAAAATCTGCCTAAAACTAAATTAAATGTTTGTTTGTTTTTAACGATTTTGCTATAAAAATAATGCATCAGATGCGTACAAAACACATTGATACATGTTTACAGATAATCACTTCATAACCATAAAACTATAGGTAATTATAACCTTGGTAGCTCATTCATATGATGTGGGCACTTATCGCCTCTAGAATCATACGGAAGTTATCCTACAGTGCTAGCAAGCTATCCGGCTATCCGCATGAGTTTCGGATACTTCAAATTGTTGTATCATTTATCAGATTTGCGAAGTATATGTATTTGTAACGGTAATGCATTATTCTTTTTATTTATTTATTGCCCTTGTAGGCAGACGTGTATGCGGCCCACCTTATGGTGAGTGGTTACCGTCGCTCATGGACTTCGGCAATGCCAGAGGCAGAGCCAAGACGCTGCTTACCAATGGCATCTACGGTATAAATTGCCTAATATGGTACCGTCATTCTGGTCTGACGCTGGGAATAGAAGGTGCCTAACATCTTAAAACTCAACGTGAACACTCATGCCCAGCTCGAGGCGTAATCTGAACATTATTGTTGATCAATCTGTGGTAAATTAGTTAGTTTTACCTTTGACGATACGCTGGCAATGATGCTCTGGCGGTGTTCTTCTAGATTGACACAGCAGAGCCGTGTCCCCTAGCCCGATGACGCTGACATGGTCTCTCTAGACCACCAGCTTAAGTAGAAAAAAAAGACCGTGTTTTTTTATTGCTTAGATGGATGGGGTGTTAAATGGTTTCTTGAGCCCATAGATATCTACAACGTAAATACCGCCACTCACCTTGAGATATCAGTTCTAAGGTCTCAGTTAGTTACAACGGTTGCCCCACCCTTCAAACTGAAACGCATTACTGCTTCACGGCAGAAATAGGCGCGGTGTTGGCACCTACCCATGCGGACTTACAACAGGTCCTACCACTAGTAAAGCGTGGTGTCCAGTGCATAATTATTGCATTAGATTAGCACAAATATCGCTAACTTTACAAACAGATCATTATATACCGCTCACGTTAGAGAGCAACAGATGAAATTTGCAGGTGAAATGCACCGGGACTCCGAGACCCCTCAGAGTGCCCTCGATCCCTCCCCGTGTAGATGATAGGTATGTTTGTGTGTGTATGACAAGTTTGTGTATCGGTTAACAAACAGTTAATTGCCGATCGATCTGCCGCGACCGCGAGGGGCCACAGCGCTGGGACCGCGGCGATATTGTTATGTCGATTGTTTACCGGCTTTGTTTCAGTTAAATCCAGTTAGGGACCCGCTTTTAGCGTTCTGCTAATGAGAAAGCCCTAATTCAGATTCGTAACAGTTAAAGTTTTCCAAATGCCTTGGAAAGTCGTCGTGGCCTAAAAGATAAGACGTCCGGTGCATTCGTATCGAGCGATGCACCGATGTTCGAATCCCGCAGGCGGGTACCAATTTTTCTAATGAAATACGTACTTAACAATTGTTCACGATTGACTTCCACGGTGAAGGAATAACATCGTGTAATAAAAATCAAACCCGCAAAATTATAATTTGCGTAATTACTGGTGGTAGGACCTCTTGTGAGTCCGCACGGGTAGGTACCGCCACCTGCCTATTTCTGCCGTTAAGCAGTAATGCTTTTTGGTTTGAAGGCTGGGGCAGCCGTTGTAACTATACTGAGACCTTAGAACTTATATGTATCTCAAGGTGGGTGACGCATTTACGTTGTAGATGTCTATGGGCTCCAGTAACCATTTAACACCAGGTGGGCTGTGAACTTATCCACCTAACTAAGCAATAAAAAAATGTAAATTCTGGAAAGGCAGTAATTATGTTAGTGTTAGAAAACGAAAACTCTTATCCGGTTCCAAATGATTAACGAAAACCCGGATAAGAGCTTGGGGTTCGTGCGTTAGCTAAGGCTCTTCATACACGAGACTAAGCTACCATCCAGTACTTACATTGGTTTTATATTGTGTGGATATTTCTAGCAGTTAAAACCTAAAGCAATCAGAACTTAATGAAACTGCTTAGATTCTGTCGCAGAGAAGTTTGTATTCTGTATTTTTTCTGGATGTTCCCAAATTTAGGAAATTTTACAAATATCATAATATGATAAAATAACCCACCATTATCGATATAGAAAATAAGCATTGAATATCACTTCTGATAAAAAATCTCATCATCTCATTTCGTTTCGTATCATTTTTCAAATTTTATGATAATAAAATATCTGAAGACAATATAAGACTTAACTTAAAAGTCATAAAATATTTAAAAGAAACTTAGAGAAACTAATTTAAATTTGCGGTCGAAAAAATTTGTTTTTCATTCATTTTCGATTTAACAGTGGACGCGTTATCAGTAAATCTAAAGCTGTAATGTACCTATCATACAAATGTATTTTATATGTGTCAGTGATTAAAAACGTACTATTTTGAAACGGTTTTATTTATTTCAATAATAAGATCTTGCTTCCTGAAAAAATCATCTGTCAGAATGAGAAGTGCTCTGTAGGATACAGTGACATAATATCGAGGGATAAAATATTATTTGGATCAAGCGACATTTTTGCTAAATTACAAAAGAGCCATTTAAAGACTTAACATTTGGAAAAACTATCAAAACAATAACACTTCTTCAGCTATTTTCACGGAGTAAACTTAAGTGAAGCTCAATTAAAAATATGGAACTGTTTATGCTGTTTCAAATAAAACGCATCTTTAATTACAAAGATAAATGTAGTTTATTAAGCGAAATATCGCTTAAACAAAATGGCCCTTCACCTCTGGATATTACTATATCTATTGACTAGCGACCCGCCCTTGCTTCGCTTCGGAAACTGTAATTTATTATTGATTTCTCCACTATTTAATGGATGTTATTATACATATAAACCTGCCTCTTCAATCACTCTATCTATTAAAAATCGCATCAAAATCCGTTGCGTAGTTTTAAAGATTTAAAAGCATACATAGGGACAGAGAAAGCGACTTTGTTTTATACTATGTAGTGATTATTTCAACTGAGAATTTTGAGATTCCTTTCCGCCGTAGACCAGGATCAAAATACCAATTTCATCTCGATACACATAAAATGATTCCGTAAAAACGCTTTTAAGTATCTCATTGATCGACTAACAACAAATTAACCTATGCTCTCATTATCTTTTAAGGATCGATACACTAAAAATATAACAGCACTCATAAACACGACTATCCGAATTTTAAACTTATCACAAAAAAAAAACATTCACACCCGTTCTTCTCTTAATTCCAGGTCAAGATCTGGTTCCAGAACAGAAGAACGAAATGGAAGAAGAAAGACAACGTAACGAACGCCGAAGTCGCCGAAATAAAACAGCAGAACAAACCAGACGACAGAAAGACGGAGGAGAAAGACGCCGCCGCCGTCGACATGTCCAAAAAGACTTGCGCGAAACTCACCGAGAAACTCAAGAGCATCAAAACAGTGGAAGTGAGGCCGAGGAAAGCGGAAAAGGGTGTGCTATTAGAAACATTATGTGATAACGATATCGAGAGTAGAATAACGATAACTAAAATAACGAATAAATTATCGAGCACTGACCTCTCGGGCGGAGGGGGCGTCTCCGTGAAGAGCTTTAGCCCCGACGAGGTCAGTGAGATGAGCTTCGACAGCATCAGTCGAGACGTCGAGATGTAGTCGTGACTCGGGATGTCCGGTGTGCTTAGAGCGAGCTTTTTAACGTTCTCTTTTTTTCCTGCCTATTCTGATAGCCTTGAGAGGCTATTTCAGCTTCACCCTAACATGTAGGTGAGCTCACGGGGCTCAAACCGGAGTGTTGCTAACACTGGACCTAGCAAGAGCAGTGCTTCGCAGAATCTACCACCGGATCGGAAACGCGACCCACTGAGAAGATCCGGCGAGAAACTCAATGGTCTATGACGTTCTCGATAGCGTAAAAGTTAACTCATATTTGTATGGAGTCGGAAAGTTTGCCTACGTTTGCCGCCAGGGGCGCTGTTAATTTTTTTTTAAACTTGCACTAAGCACACTGCAGTTATTTAACAAACATTGTGTTAAATTGGAATACTCGCGTTGGATGTGGCACGCGGACAATTCAAACAAACGAGGCATTTTAGCAAAAAAATAAATAATTAGATTTACCAAAGGTTTTGATGCAAGGTTGACTAACTCATATTTAATTTTATTATTAATCGTAACGTTACGCACATTAGGAAGGAGATAATACTTTACAGTATTTCGTAAACAAACAAAAACATGTTTTTTTTTTAATTTCAACCGATTATTAAAATTAGTTCAGCTAAAATCATATTTTTCTAAGTAATCTTTTAAAAACATTCGACCTGATTGAATACGTATGTTTCAGTAAATGTCGGTAGTCATAATACTGCTGTTTAAATTGGTCGGCCTGTTTAATGATAAAAGTATTTTATTTCTATAAAAATAACATTTTGCGAATGTAACTTATACAATAGCGTTGTCTCTTTCTTTTATATGCGATTAGAACGAAACGGTGCGTGAATCGAATTAACGAGTTTTAAGTTAATATTAAATTAACAGCGCCATCTTTCGAACAGTAACAAGACTACAATACGTATGTCTTTTCCTTTGTTCAACCACACTAGTACCTGGTGCAGCGACAATGTAACTTTAAATTGGACATGATATTGGCTCGAGCTGATCTGATTTCTACAGATTTTTGACATATTTACCAAATTTCCGTAAGTTTTCCTTAAAATTTAATTTAGCGCCATCTAGTATTGTTTTGTGTAACTAAGTATTGTGATTTTTTATTATTATAAATGCAGCCAATCTCAGTACAACACCCGGCAAACTTCTAGAACATTAGTTGACGTAATTGGGGAAAATTTGCGCATGGTACACTTACATGCAAAAATAGTATTCACTCTGTGTCATAATGTTATTAAGGTTTTAAAAACAACATAATATGTATTTATTTATATATTTATTACAACAAAAAATACAGGTTAATAATTGTAATAATTTAATCTTGGGGTAAAATATTCCTTCTATTAGGTCAAAACTAGGATTGGTGCCAGGCCTTGGCTCAGCTGAAGCGGAGCCGGTAATTTTTTGTATCTTTAATTCTTTGATATCCTTTGATTTCTTTGATTCTTGGGCCGAAGCGGTCCCCCCCCCCCACCACCCCTCTCGCCCGTCAGCTCGCCACACAGATGTTTGTGTACTTTAGTGTTGTTTTTCGAGTTCAAATGACAATGCGCTCAAAGATTAACATTAGGCATGAAATACACATGCTATTAGAAAAGCACGCTTGTTTGTTGCTAGGCAGCATGTGTATTCTAGGCTTTAGGTCGCGAGCGCCTGCCTCTTGTGAGCAGGTCTAGGTGCTTAGTGCGAGTTTTTTAACGTTCTCGATAGCGTAAAAGTTCGCTCATATTTGTATGGAATGGGATAGTTTGCCTACGTTTGCCGCTAAGGGCGCTGTTCCAACTGCATGCAAACTTGGGTTAACTTTTACGATATCGAGAACGTTAAAAAACTCGCACTAAGCACACTAGTGCCAGCAATACAGTGTGCGACCGTGCGTCGATTGAAGTAGTGTGCAATATTCGTTAACGTCTACAATAGGCGCGCGAATTCATGTCCATCCTGAGGAATGCGGTAGTGCTGTGACCTAGTTAATTATGGTAATGTCGATAATAACTACCGATTTAGTCAACAGCTGTCAATTCGGTTTAATGTAGCATAAGGTAATTTGACAAATTATGAAAGAAAATAAATGTGATAAGTAATTACTTATTTATTTCTAATAGAGATTTTATTTATTTTATTTCAATTCAATCACTTATCAGATGAAAAGACAGCCGACAGATCAAAATCAGAATCAGTATATTTTTTCAGTTGGTTTTTTTCTACCTGAACTTGTTGGAAGCGGAGTAGTCATGGTTTATTCACAATGAAATAACACTATAGCGTTTCGATTTTCGATATCGATAAGCGTGCGTCACAACCGTCAAGGACAACACTCGACGTCAGACGAATGCGGGCAGGCGGGCGAAGGTGGGGCGAGCTCCCACCCGCGCGTCGCCTCTAGCCCCGATGGACACGAACTCGCGCGCATACTATACTTATATTTGAGTCGACTATTATCAAAGGCGGCAATCTGACTTTTGGACAATGATTGGTAAATCAGAAAAACGAATTATTGACTTTGTATTCCATCGGCAGTCACAAAACTCTTCGGAACGACATCTTAGATAAATAACAGGTTAACTATTAACCTTTATTTAATGCAGGTTTTGAACCGTATTCTTTGAAGGAGACGATTATATTCAAATCAATCTGTATTGACATATCAATAAATTTTTTTTGTCCAAATGCACAGATTGCCACCTTTGATAATAGACGACTCATTTAAGAGCTTACTTTAATCGCTTCGTAATTCTCATCGAATGACGTTCATTTAGGCAATAGACTTGCTGACCGTCTCGCTGGCTTATATCATTACATTCCCAACTCCGACTTGCGCGTTGTTAACACTTAATTTCCACGAAAAACATTACACGTAAAAACATTAATAGTAAGCAGTTGTCACAAATGTTGACTTTAGTTTTTGCTGCTGCAGATGATGTCCGGAGATATTTTAGACATTGACCGTGGGCACATTAGCAGTATCATAAGGTACATATCGTCTTTTCGCATTAAAAGTGTACAATTTCCAAAAAATATTCGAAATTGAATTAATATGCGAAATCATTTGGTATCAGCATTTTGGTGTTTTTCTCATAAATACTGTCCAAAGAGCGTAGTTACTTTACCTTTTTTTACTTTACTTATGTTTTGATTCCTCCTCGAATCGTGTTCCTCATGTCTGAGGGTCGTGACCACCATCACCCATGAGCTTCAATCTTAAGATGTTTAACGTTTTGACGTTAACGTTTAATGTTTTGATTACTAGTAACAAAATAAATAAATAATTTTGTCTTACTTTAAAAGACCGATAATGTAATTAGTAAAAAATAAATGTTGCAAATATGATTAATATTAAAAATATTACATGTTAAAACCTTTAAAACACTCTCCTGTAAAATTAGTAAGTTTTGATATTATACAGTTTTAATGCGAGAAGACGATATGTCCATTCTCAATGTTTGTCAGCTCACGTATTCACTTACCGTGATATGAGATTCAATAGGATAGCTCTTAGTGGTTTGGTGACCCATTACCATCAGGCGGGCCGTTGTCAGTGGCTGACACGCTCCCGTCTCAAGCACGGAATCTGATTTACTAACAATTAAAAGTACAAACATTTCAAATTAAATATACAAACAATAATTCAATATTATACTCACTATAGTTTTACTGAGATGTAGAATTAGAATTTACTTAGACGGTTTTTTTTTTCTGACTATGTACTTGAAATTGAAAAGTATACGAATTGAAATAAATGAATTTTTAATTAGTTAGTGTGTAAATAAGTACATACATAGGTACCTTACGAACTTTGTATTAAACATATCATTTTTGTTGGTTTGCGATTACAAATATTTTCCTTATACGTATAAAAACTACATGATCCCAAAAAGCCCTTAAAAATTTTTAATTAAAAGAAAAATTGAAGAAGAATAGGTACTATATACATACATAATATGTAGTACGTGATAGATTGCTGCGGGCGTTAATTCCTTCTCCCATAACCATTTATAGTATAAAGGGGTTCCCAAACTTATTTTGTCTACTGCCCACTTTGGGAATAAATAATTTTTTATCGGCCCTTTTTTTAACCTACTTAAAAACCACTATAGCGACAGCTCAGTCGGTGTCTAAGAGTCCTCCTAGATGAAATTACAAATAGTCTACCAAGCCTCTACACAACACCCCCATTTTTTTTTTCTGGGTCTCTTACTGCCCCCCTGTAGGATTGCAGCGCCCACAAGGAGGCGTTATCGCCCACTTTGGGAAAGGCTAATTTATACGGTTACAAATTTAAAATTTTCGTTGATTATTACCAAAGTTTCTAGTGGTCGTGTCAACTAACACGTCATTATCCGAGTTATATCAATCGAGCGCTCCCCAGTCTCACCGTCCGTCCAGTGGCTGACTTACCCTCAGGCGGAGTATGCTCCAGCCTTGGGCGGCAGATTAAGGGGCGACCGATTTGAAGCAATTTTATTTATTTCATGTTTATGGACTTGTAGAGGCTGGCGGTAGCTGGTAGGTCTTCCACTGGGTCAGCCCTTGACGTCTCCATTACCACACACCATCGCCATTTGTCGCGGCGCGCGTGTCTCTAGATTAGGGTTGCCACCTTCTCTTTTACAGGTAAAGTACATTGGTTATTATTTATTGTATAAACAAAATTTTTATTACAATTCAACAGATTAAACAAAAAATTGTGACAATTAATGATAGTGACATTGTTGGTATTTCAGGTTAAGTTGCGTTGAGAATTTTTTGTTATAAAAACGAGTGCTTAGGTAATGTGGCGTTGACGAGTGGCGAAAATATAAACATATGACTAAACTTTTCAAAATCCCAAAGAAACCAACTCATTCCAAATAAAATACTTTCGTGTGCTTTATAGTTCACATAAATTATAATATTTTATTGTAAAGTACGGGTGGCAGCCCTACTCTAGATCGAGATATTTGAAAAAAAAATGTTAATAAAAGTTTGTAATCATAAATCTTTTAACTCAAGTAAAGTTTAAGTGTCTGCATAATAATAACATTGTGATGTTTGCTAAGAGGTTATTTCGAGTTATCATTTCTTCAATAAACATATTATACGTTGATATAAGATTATTGTAAATTGGAGCCA